ACGGGTAAAAATGTAAGAAATTACTATATTACATATAAAAGATGTATATATATCATAAGATTTAAGCACTTAGTGGTGAAGCAAAATATTTGATAAATATTTAATAATTTTCATTGATTATAATTTTTAAACAATCTGATTGAAAATTATAAAATTATAAAATCTATGTATAGTAAATTAATTTTTGTTGATAACCAAGCGCTATGATAAACGTGATGACTTTAACTTTTCTATCGTCAACTTCCCTTACTTATGCAGCAATATATCTTCATCACCTGCATACGGAATTTAAATATCTAAATTGATTCGATACGCAAGTGCTCTACGTATGGACAATTTCTAAAAGAAGGTAAATTATTGACAAACAAGTTGATGACACAAGAATATCAGCAGTCTCGTTTAAAGTCATCATTTCGTAAGTTTTTTTTTGGTCGATACAATGACCTTGTCAGCAAATACAATTTATCATTGAGTCAAATGCTGATTGACTTTTATTTATAGACTGCATTGATGACGAATTTTCCCATTATTTCTCGATCATGACAAGGAGTACACTGCGGGTGTGACCGGTCAGCAGGGGATGCTCACTCCTCCATGGCACCTGATCCCACCGAGGTAAAATTTTTACCGATTTTGAACGTCAATAACCTCACCTGTCTTTAATCAAATTGACTTTTAACATCTTTAATGTGCCATTTATTTAAATTTTAAGTCGGTTAATAAAATAAATTTAATCGGTTATTGGTTGATTTTTTTATATATCTTTGAAACGCAGTTGATTTAATTGTGCAATTTACAGAAAAGTCCTATCTATATTATTAGGTAATAAACAAAGAGAACATTTAGAATTATGGTTATCTAAAATTTTCAAAAATATGCCACATATGACTCTAATTCTTACTTCTGTTCGCTATATATATATTTCACAATATTTAAAAAAAACAATCATTAAAAGGGAATTATTAGAAAACTGCGTTTAGGGAATATTTAATTCAAAATAAAAAAATATATTATTATAACTACCCGCACATATTTATGTTTAGTATATCCCCGATTCTTTATGGGCAATTAAAAAATGGATATGAAGTCCAATTAACTTAGTTTTGACTTTGTGACACGTTCATTATATATAAGCAAAATTTGGGTTAGAGAGAATATTTTGATGTTTTAAATTCTGGCTCTTGTGCTTGTGTCTTTATTTGTATACATTAACCATTGCTCCTTCCCGCAGTCACATTTATAGTCCATAGAGAACTGGGTATTTTGACAAATCAAGATATTTTTTTTAATTTACCGAACAAAATGTAAATCTTTTTACGAAAATTAAATAATCGTTTACTAAAGAGATTGTAATATATGGAGGTAACGAACAGTATTCAAGCTCAAAGGTCCAACAAACAATACAAAATAGGAATAGAGCAAACACGGACCCCTAGAACATTAGAGGTGGGATAAGATGCCATGGATGAGTAAGTATCTCTTGATAATTATTAAGTATTTTTTGGAAAACTCAGCTAAGTGTCTCATATGTGCATTAGCTTGCATAACATATATGCAACAAGTTATTTAAAAACTTTGCTTTTTTAATTAATTAAGTCTATTCATTCCTGGTAACAGAAACATTTTTCGAGAATGAAAATTACTGAATAAGACTTTTTTTTTTTTACTTAAAATACAAAAACATTATTATTGAACTAAAATGGAGTTCACAAATGATAAAAATTGAAACACAAATGTTGTATAATAATACGAATGGAAAAAAAGTTAATATACAATACAAATTGAAAAACCAGATACTCGTACATGCGCAAATGGTAAAAATTGAATATTGGAGGGCAAAGCATGGCATAATAATAAGAGTTTCTTCCTATTACAGAACATGTCTCTCTGAGCGGTCTCGTCACAGGTTTCGAAGATAATTGACCTATCTTGTGACGACGTAATCGGTTTCTTGAACTCTTGTGTGACACCAAAATGACTTATATTAATGCTAGATTTCAAAACAAGATATTGTAATTCGTGAAATAAAAAAACAAAATATCTATCCAAGTAACTTTTACCATTTTATTTAAGCCCCCCCCCCCCCCCCCCCCCCGCAGTTCATCAAAGTCAATAAAACAATTCAAAATAGAAGTAGAGCAAACACGGACCTCTAAAACATCAGAGGTGGGATCAGGTGCCATGAAGCAGTGAGCATCCCCTGCAGACCGGTCACAACCGCCATGTGCTTTGCATACTTGGGAAATTACGGAAAAACATGTCTACACGTGTGTCAGCAACTTGTTTGTCAATAACTTACCTTTTACAAATAGTTCATACGTAGAGCATGCTCTTGCGTATTGAATCAACTGAGAGATACAAACCCTATACAGAGGTGATGAAGGTATATTGCTGCATAAAGAAGTCAAGTTGATGATTGGAAAGTTAAATATTTCATCACGTTTATCATAAAGCTTGGTTGTTAGTTTACCATTTAACGTCTTTCTCAAGTAAAATATCCAAATATGAAACAGACATCAGAATCTGACTCGAAGCAGGCTTCAGCTGAACAAAATCTCACAAACAAAAAACTTTTTAAATATTTAAATGATTTTATTTTAAGACATCACTAACAAAAAAAAACCCAATGATACAATGTTTTTCTTTAATAATAAGCGTACGTGTGTACTGTTCACCGGCCCGTGGGACAGTAAAATTATATAAGACACAGCAACATAGAAAATCTACTGAAGAATAATGTCCAATCATCAGGACCTGGCTTACAGTCATTTTAAAATCTTAATGCAAAGAAAAGTAACTCATCTAAAAAATAGGATAATCTACAAAATTGTATTTAAAGGAAAATCTACAAAATATAAAGGATGACAGTAGAATATTAAATTGGCAAACAAAATTTAACAAAAACATTACAAGACCTTTTCTGACAGTTAAAGAGGTTGGGGGTTGCAGCCATTTTCAGACTATTTTGATCTCCTTAAAAAGAAGAGCTCCATATAAAGATATACAAAAATCATAAAATTTTAAAACTAAAATGTATGATTTTTTTCTTTGCCAAATGATAGGTGACAGCTTAAGATACCGTATCTAAAAAATAAGTTAAATCTGGTGGTGAATTTGTTGACCCCCCAGCCTCCTTAAGTAAAAAAAATATGATTTTGGAAAAAAATTTGGAATTGTTAAGACCACATGAATGAACTCTGTTTTATACAGTGCCGGTGTATGACAAATATTGACTCTGCCCACCAGGTCATGGATGATTGGACACTAGGATAGCTTCAGTTATCACTTCACACAATCATTAGTGAAGAAGAAATCAAGTTCTAGCATCATGTGACAAGGGTTCCAAAGTTACTTTGTAACATTTAATTCTAATATGTAATATACATGTATTATGTAGACATACATGTATTCATAATATATTCATATACATGTATTGCGTACATAAAATATGTTGCACAAAGGTCTGTTATTACGAGAATATTCCGTTCAGCAGCTAAATTTACAAGGATTTCTTTATGTTTTACATTAGCAGTTCTGTATTAACCCACAGGAGAATATTATCAAAACTGCAGCTAATTACTATGTGATTAATTAAGAATCTAAAAAAAACTTTTTTAAAAATAAAATCATCATTCATCAGAGATGAAAAGTTTTCTAATGTCAACAAATTTCTTGTGAATACTAACTTTATACTGATAGAAAAATGTTTTATTAACATATACAAGTATGTGCAAAATAAAATGTTATATCATTTTAACTAAAACACTGGATATAAATAAATATTTTCTCACAGAAGACTCAAGAGTAACATTTGTTAAAATTCATTTCTTCAGAGGGCTTAGTAAAATACTAATTAATGATAAACAATTATCACAATATATACACCATAAACATAGAGCACAGACATAAAATCATCTTTTAGAATCTCTTGAGCAACTGTACAAAGAACCGGGTCAGAAGAAAGTTATAAGGCAGTCTGTTATCTTCCTACCACAATAAATACTTTACTCTAAATTTTGTACTCTACTTTTGAAAATAAATCTTTTATGACAAAGTTACAAGATCGTAGTGTATTTGTACGATTGACTGACTACAGGTACCATGTACACAAAATATGAAGATTTTATCGTCTAGTCCTATTGCACACACTTTTCTCTCAAAAACATACAATTTACGGATAACATGAAAAGTTAGCTTTGTGTAGCATCAATTTTCTGTGGTGTGTTAACAAGTACTACAAAAGGGCTCTAAGTCTTATATCAACTAGGATATCACAGTTTCATAAATAAATACTTAGATAATGTTTTAAGAAGAATGAAAGAGCAATTTTTTTTCTTTTTAAAAAAATTGAAATTTTTCATTTGTAAAATTTTTTGGGGGAAATTGCCTATTTCAAGCCAGGAGGAGAAATCTCCCTTCATAGTGTTTTTTATTCCAGGAATGAATCAATTTTATTTAAAATTTCCTTCTTCTGCTTTAAATTAGTCGCTATATAACAAAACAATTTATAATCCTAAACAAAATCTGAAGGAGTTCTCTCCCTTTGACACATACTTCTCTCTATAGTCTCATTACCCGTTAAAAATTTTATACATTAAAAACAATGGACAACACAATGAGAAAATAAAATATATCTAATATGTTGTTACATTCTCATCATCATTTTCCCATTAGGGTAAAATAAAATTTTCCTATTTTTCTCAGGAAAATTAAAATAAAAATTTTTGAATTAGCACTTGTATATTGAGTAGACATTTCTTTTAGAAATAAAAAAAAAATAATTAAAAAAATTAAGAAAACTCATATATTGGCACCATGTGTATAAAAACCAGTATAATCTAGCACTATTCATAACCTTCTGGCAATCTGACTAAAGCCAGACCTCTATTTAAGCTATCGCCTCTATGTGATAGCGTACATAGAGGTCTGGCTTCAGTCAGATTGAATCTTCTGGCATTGTGGAATGACTGTAGATTGTATTTAAATTTTACTTTCTTTGAAATTTTGTTCTTGTTTTATTTGGATCATAAACCTTTGCGTAGCTCTTCTTGTTTCAAGTCTATATACCATATGTACTTGTAACATAAAGTAAGAAAAGGGAGGTATATAGTAACTAATTCCAAAAATTGAATGTTTTACCTGATAAATGCTTGTCCAAGAAAACTAAGAGGCAATCTTTTTAGTCAACAGTATAGATGAATTCAGTACACCCTAAACGTGACTTGTAATAATATCAGCTAAATCTCTCACTTCACAAACTCATATACACAAGTCAAGAATCACATAAAAAGAAAGCAGTTGTTTAGCCATGAATAGGAAACTAAATGAGACATTTAAGATGATCAAAGAAATTTCAAGATTCAAATTTTTAAGATTAATGTTGAGTAACGAAATAATTAAAATCTTCAAGTCCCTTTTGCAGTAAATATAACTAACAGTTGATGTATAACTTTTTCTGTACAACTATTTACAAAATGATATATATTTACAAAATCTGTTAAAATATTTACATATGAAATAATCAATGCATGATTATGAAATACATGTCTATAAAATCTTCAAAAACCGAAGTCGAAGGAAAAAAAACATTGTATCACAAAGACGAATAACATAACTCCATGAAAAAAATTGTGTTCTCAAACAAAAAGCAGAAACTTTTACGTGCCCTGGTGACCTTAAAAATGAAAACAGCTTCATCAGATTATTTCCCTATATCAATGCAGCAGGGCACAGAATCTTAGATCCTCTCCTATCATGTCCCTACAGCAGGGCACAGAAATTTAGATCCACTCCTATCATGTCTCTATAGCAGGGCACAGAATCTTAGATCCTCCCTCTTTGTCTATAGATACATCCATGATGGAAATAAATCACTTCATTAGTCTTAAACAATTAATAATATTTAACACAAAGAATGAATAGCATCAGTAATTTGCCATTAATATAAACAACAAAACAGCTACACTCTGCTGGCTTTCATAACCTCCGTCCGATAATAAACTGGAGTTGTCTCTCCTTGAATAATGAGAACACTTATACATGTTGCCACATGGAGTGAGATATCTGTAGGACATAAACATAAAATATAATTGTCATTCACTAACACGGGGCGCAAACAGGGGTGTATGCACAGATGCAATGAATTGTTTATTTATAAATCCACAACACGTCCTAAGCAGGGAATACCCCAGGGCACCTACGTCACGTCAGAGAAGGAAAGTTTCCTTAAGGCCGTGTCAGCAGTGTTTAAGGACATCAGCTTTTCCAAACTCCTAGGTGACACTGATTTGAGATCTTTTAAATGTTTGCTTTTCCTTGCTATCTAAGCTCTCTAGTTTGTGTGCATGATCAGCTTAGCCCTTTTATGTACAGGTCTTTCACAGAATGACACTTCTAACTCAGGTCTGACCCCTCAGGACTTCTTGGTCTCTTCTGTGCTACATTCACCGTGTTCAAACACCTCCTGGTGAAGAGGAGGGAAGATGTCCTTTGAGGGGGCCTGCATCTGCATGCTATTTAAAGCAATCCGATGCTTCAGATTCACTACTTTGAATGTCTTCATTGTACCGATGGCCTTTATAAAAACATTGTCATAATCTGTAAATAGAAAAAAGAAAAAAAAATTAAAAATCGTTTGGTTGCTGTGAACAAAAATAATACACCTTATTTAAATTAGTTTCTTAATCTGCCTGGATAATTTAAATTATAAAATGAAAAAAAAAATAACCTGGAAATCAACAATATACCCAGAGTGGGCATGAGTAGCTCAATTTGAAGCCTTTTTCTAGGAGGAAAAATTGTCTCATTGTCTACACTGAAATTAAATTATATGGAATGAAGCTTATTTCAACTTATGTTATACGACATAACATAACTCGGGACAGTTTACGCTTTTTTATAAACCGCTCGCGGTTTATAAGCGTATGTGTGTTTATGTTTGTATATGTTTACTATAACCTTTCTTTTAGAACTTTCTATCTTGTTATTGTAAGAAACCTTTATGCCTTCTGGGCCCAAAATTGGAAATAAAATTATCTTATCTTATCTTATCTTATACTGAATGAAAGTTATTCATATACAGACTTCATTTAAGGAATGAAGCTTATTTAAACTTTTGTTATACGATATAGCGTAACTTGGGGCAGTTTACGCTTATAAACCGCGAGCGGTTTATAAAAAAGCGTAAACTGTCCCGAGTTATGTTATGTCGTATAACATAAGTTGAAATAAGCTTCATTCCATATAATTTAATTTCAGTGTAGACAATGAGACAATTTTTCCTCCTAGAAAAAGGCTTCAAATTGAGCATTATTTTAAAACTAACATCAAGCGGAGTACTACGTTTTTGATGTAACTCATTGTGACGTAGGCAAGTTATGTTATACAAAATATCTTTTACCCAATCAAATGACATGTTACAAATAAAATTAAATTATTATCTGATATATCATGAAACCTTAAGGCAAGTTTTCAGTTATCTTCCTTGCCAAAACTCTTCATTTAAGGAGAGTAGGGAAGGTAGTCATAGTGGAACAAGGGAGATAATTCTGATAAATATGCAATCATCAATGATTAAATACAGTTTAACTTTAGTACATGTATCTCTTAACAGTGAAATCTCCAATACACTGGATATGTCCAACTGATCTGAAATCCCTATCCTCTTTTTCCTTGTTTTACCCTGGATATTTAGACTTCCTCTCAATATATCAGTTTTTTTTCTGTTCTCATCAAGTTTGACAAGATAATAAAGTTTGACTATACATAACTAGTTTCTTGTCGTCCGTCCGTCTAGCTAGCTGTCTGTCTAAACTTACTTTCTATTACAAGTTCTAAGCTTAGGGTAAGTTCAAAGACAGCTGACTTAGATTACCTTTAAGATTTATTTAGAAAACCATTATAATTAAGTCTAAAATGCTTATTAATTAATCCTGTTTTCAGAGCTGAAATATTTTAAGAAAAAACTTGACCTTGGACTATTGGGTGTTGTTCATCGCATTGAAATATAAGAAATACTCATTCAGCTGTGTATGCTGATCTGATGCAGATCAGATCATGACGACATTCTCAATCTGTATCTTATACAACCCTGAGTGTAGTAAGTACAGTCTTTATTTCACAAGAAAGGTATCAATAAAAATATAATAAATACTGACAACATCAGCTGTAATTCAGAATCCTCCAATTTACATGAAAAGGCAATTTCTGCTTAGAGATACCATCTATCAGCCCGGGATATTTTACGCCATAAATAAAGCCTAACGAAAAAATAATTACTTTTAACTGAACCATAAAAAACTAAAAAAAAAAATTTTTTTAAAAATTGGAGATTCAAATCAAAAGGAGGGAAAACAGGATTTATAAGTATAAAACAAAAAGCAATAATTACTTTTTTATCATATCTCAGACTCTTAACACATTATATATATATATATATAGCAACACCTGTGTTGACTTACTCAAGGTGTAAATTTCATGTAAAATATGTGGGATTTTTTCTTTCGTCATTTCAACATTTTCTATCCATGACATCCATTTTCAAGCTCTGTTACCTTTTAAGGCAGTATGGGTGAGAGATATTGATTTTCGAGCTCTATCTTACATCCAAAGTGTTAATGAACTTAAATCAATACAGGTATCATGTGTATTGTAAAGGAAGTGTCTGGAAATAGAGCCGATTCTGATCAATAGGAAAACAAAATCTGCTTAAACAAAAAAAAAAATTAATCATATATATAGAAACAATGCTGGCTTGGAAATACAAAAAGAAAATCTGTGAGTGCCAAAAAAAAAATTATTGAAAGAGGTAGGTTCATTAACTCCATAAAATGGCCCTGTCATTATACCATTAACTGACCACGTCCTTATGTCCCTTTATAAAGTGGAGACTTAGTGCTTTCATTTCCTAAAATGAAGATTTCCCTCTGAGAGTCCAAGTTTAGACACTCAGAATATGTGAAACTACAATGTTCTTGAATTTTGAAGAAAATGAGTGAATTTGAGCATCTTCAACTATTGATTAAAATATGAGCCCACCTCGCAATCCAAAAATTGTTTCATGAGTAAGAATCTTTCAAATCAGTCCTTTTATTATATAGTTCAACATTTTAGATCAGAGGTTGGGGTTTATTCAAAATATTAAAAAAACAGCTTAAAATTTTGGCCATTTTTAAAGAAATTTTCCAGATTTTAGGAAAATGACACAATGCATGATGTTAATAATACATGGACAAGAGAAAAAATTACGTCATTTTTATTTGATATGATATCACCAAGGGTCCAGGTGAAATTTAACATATTTTCAACTGAAAATGAGCAGTTCTGATTTTTCAGAAATTCACAGGGCCAAAAGAGGCCCAAGGTGAACTTTGTTCTTTGCAAGCCACAGTCAAACCTGCTTATCTCAAACTCAAAGGGACCAAGAAAAAAGATCCAGATATCAGAGGATTCAAGATATCAAAATTGAATAATAAAAGCACAATTGTTTTCCATATCATTCTGACATATTCAGGGTAACAGAAACATCAGTGTTCAACTGTATGTATACCTCAGAAGACAAAAAGCTAATAAGCTTTGATATTCCCAGCATGCTTCATATCAATAATGTCAACTGACTCCATATGTATCAAACCATTTTACTACATTTTTTGGCTCGGCATGCAGGAGACACTGACAGACAGACAGACAGACAGGTTACCTACCAAAGTGGTTTTTCTTGATGAGGGCGTACAGACACTGGAACAGAAGGGACTGAAGCTTCTTGACAGCTCGCACATTCTTAATGCCCTTCCTCTCTGTAAAAAAAAAAAAAATTAAAAAAAAGAAATAAAACATATTCATTACTAAACTGAATCAAAATTAGTAAATATTCTCTATTACACAGAAACAACAGTACTGAATTAATTTTCCACCCATTTTACTTAGAAAAGCATCTCAAGATTTACTTCTACTTCTAACATTTATCTATATACCATTTTGTTCCAGTAAAGTGTGTGTTGGTTTACAATGACCTCATTCCTTTGACCTTGACCTCATATTTTTAAAGATCCTGGATGGATCTGGATGGATTGTGAGAGATACACAGCCTGATTATTTTTCTGACCTTGACCTGATTTGCACACTGTCCTGGACATATGATGAGTGTTATGCTTTTACCGAGTGTTGAGATAGAGAGTCAGACCCCCAGTATTTGACCTTGACCTGATATGTATGTAGACCTGTACAGATGACTGGGGGGTAAAGAGCCCAATCTCTATCTTTGACCTTGACCTGATTTTCAGCCTTGACCTGACATACATACCTGGACAGATGATGAGTGTTGAGGTAAAGAGCCCGATCTCCCCGTCCGTCAGCTTTAGAGGGTTGAACATTTCCGCTACGTTGAAAAACTCGTCCATGAATTCTCCCATAGGCAGCATCTTCACCATCTCCCTATCAAACACAGAACTTAGACAGTCAGAAACAGTTAAAATCAGAGGACTGAACCAAGCAGAAACAGATTCACTGAAGTCAGAGGACTCAGAAACAGATTCACTGAAGTCAGAGGACTCAGAAACAGATTCACTGAAGTCAGAGGACTCAGAAACAGTTTCATTCAATACTTTTTAGTGCATTTAAAAACCAATTAATACATAATTTGCAAAACAATTGTTTCAAAGATTCTAAACTGTTTTGCCTCTAACAGTTTCCAATTTATTTCCTTTAGACTTTAAAAAAATATAATTTGAGTGTCAAATATTGATGTTGTCATCAATAAAAAAAGAAATGAATCTATACAATGCAAATGAACAATAACTTATGCCTTATACATGTTTTCAAATGAGATAAAAAAAAAAATTAATAATGATAAACAGACTATAAACAGTGAATAACACTTCAATAGAATTTGAAATATAGCCATAATAGGTTAGGTAGTGTGGCTCGCAGCAAAGTTCGAGTCAATGCCCTTGAAGTTCGGAAACAAGTTAATAAAGAGAGAGTTTCTGCCTATATATGGTTTTGTTCCTGACGAGCGTTGTCAGATCATGTAGATACAACAGACAAAATGGCTACAGAACAACATTTTCCTTGCAGGCAAAAAAAATTCAAGGCTTTCGAGTGTTTTCTGTTATTTATTGAACAAATCTCTGTCACACAATCTCACAAAAAACCTGCTTTTGCCATCAGAAGCAGACATTAAAAGACCAATAAAGAGAATAGCCCAGGACTGATATGGAGTTACGTTTACAGTTTTTAACAATAACTGACTTGTATCTACAGTCAGGATGGTGTTATGGATTTTGTAGAAAACAACAAGTCCTCAATTTCCATCAGCTTCCCATTAAGTTTGATACATATTTACAGATGTTGCCCTGCTAATTTACCCCCCCCCCCTCCCCTTAGTTTCAGTCTTTTTTTTCATTGAGATTAAATTTAGTAAATGACATTATCAGAATCACTTAAGCATTTAAACTGTTAAAATGAAGTTTTTTATATAATTACAGTGAAAACTGTCTAATCCGACACCTGAAAAATCCCACACACTGTGAATTCCGACGTTATATTTCTTTCCCATTTGAGTATTTTCTCTGTTTTTAAAACTGTGCAATCCGACATCCTGTCTATTCCGACACAAAATTTGTCTCCCAGTGCATGTCAGATTAGACAGGTGTCACTGTATAACCATTTCTAGCTTAGTTTGGACTTTCATTAAGGTGTGACATTCTCAGCGCTACAGGTTTACCACCTGTCAAATGGCCAATAGATTCTCAGTGGTTAAGAAATTGATAACATCAGGAACTTTACATTGTTGTTGACAACGATGAGAAGACTTAATTCCCACCTCTTTGCAGGAGGAAACAATGTAATTGGTTATTCGATACACTAATTGGCATTTGCCCGAATTTTTATCTCAATGACATGTATATTTCAACAGTGAAGGAAAGCTGTGTAAATTTCAGAAGCTAATTATGTAACATCGAGAATGCCATGCCTTACTGAAAGTCCAAACTAAGCTGGAAATAGTCCTATTTGTGGTGTGGGACAATATCATTTAAAAAAAAATGACTGATTTCTATTGTAAAATTTTCAAGTTTTCTCAATTTGAAAAGTATTTAATATAAAGATTTGTTTGTTATAACTACTAGAATGTGGCGATATGTGAACTCTAACTCCTTGGGTGAATCATGTTGTAAAGTACACACAATGGACTGTGCACAGTACCAGGTGAGTATACTGTATAATCCCTATTTACCGTCCCTGCCCCTATAAGCACCCCTCTAGGTCTTTTTTTAATTGTCAGGAAATAAGGGCACCTGTACAGTGATTAAAATTATCTAGAATCGTATCAAAATTTGAAGAAAGACATAATGAAACTTGTCTATTATCCAATTTCTCCAATTTCAATTGAATATGAATCATTTAGCATAATTTGGGTGGATTATCTTCACTTGAAGTAAAGTTGGACATTATTTTTAGTGGTTCTTTGAATTTGTTGTTTTTTCAAAAGATTTTTTGAAAGTTAAAATATGACATTAAATATTAGAAAGGGAATTCCAAATTAACCACCCCTTTTTGCAATTTTCTAAGCATCCCGGGCGGTTAATAGGGATTATACGGTACTTTGAAATTAAGGTGGTGTTTACCTTGGACACTTGATTTTCATTTCTGGATCAAACATTGTCCCCTTTTTGTAGTCCACCAGGTTACAGAATCGACAGAGCATGACCTCAAATGACCCCTGCTTAATTAGGTTAATCTGGTCATCCTGATCAATCTCCCCAAAACCTACAGAGAGAGAGAGAGAGAGAGAATTAAAAGTGATCTCATAATCAAAGGGATGAAAGTACTCAAACACCTTCATTTTCCTTTGGTCAATGTACAGCGTATACAACTAAAACGAGTCAATCACAAATGATAAGAGTTTATTCAAAGTATATCGGACACTCTCTTTTCATACTCTTATAAAGCAGGGCTCGACATTAACGCTTGTCCGCTTGTCCGGTACCAATGAAAAAAAATTACGGACAATTGAATATTGCTGGGCACTTGTCCCACTGGACAAGTGATTTTTATGTAAAGAAGTCTTCAAATAATAATAATTAAAAAAACTATTAAAATGTTTATCGAATAAAAACGGAAGCAGTACATAATCCTGAAATTCGATCCCGATATCAATCGCTATGTAAGTTCACACTTGATCGTGATCGATGTTCACTAATTGCAGCCATACTATTGCATGGTGTGGATCTTACGACGTTTGCAGGTTTGGAATACATTTGATTGATATTACATATTCACTTGCGAACATTTATGTTGTTGTCAGGACAGGAAATCTAGATAAAATTTTGTTTTATATGTGTTCGTCTTATTTATCAGTATCAACACTAATAAATTAAGCACATTTAATTTTTTAATTTAAGTAATTGTTTTCAAGTTGACAGAATAAGATATTCATTGAAAATTTTTCGGGCAAGTGAAATTGAAGTTCGGACAAGTATATATCTTGGTCACTTGTCCGAATGGACAAGTTGGAAAAAAGTTAATGTCGAGCCCTGTAAAGTAAAACATAATTTTTGTAAACATACTTTTTACAGCTGTTTTCATTCTGTGGTTAAGTATTACAGTGCCATAAGAAATTTTCAAATATAACTTTTATATAGAAAATCAAAAATTCCCTGTTCCTCATCGTTTTGCTGTGAATAAGTCAAACTGTAGATCAACTTTCTTCAGTTAGAAATCATTTTCAATACAGTAAAAATTGTTTAGTACGAACACTGATATTGTGAGTTCATGGATATATATATATACATGTAGCAAAGTTATCTTGGATCCCCAGCTATATTAATTCAATGAATTTCTTATACAGATAATAACAAATTACGGATAATTAGCATAGTAATTTCATAGATCTGAGGAACTTTTCAATATTAAACTAAGTTTTACTATACATACAATACACCCTGCAGTCACATATTACTTATATATTACCTGGTATCTTTTTACAGAACTTGACGACCAGCGTGATCTCGGGAACCATCTGAGACACAAACTGCTGCCAGATTGAGTTAGGATTGATCACAAGTTTGCTGAAGTCAGGCTGAAAAAAAATTAAGAAAAATCAACATTTGTCAAATCAATCCCTACAGAGAAATATCATCTCGAGACTTAGACTATGTCGCCCTTCTCCCTCCCCAAAAAAAATGTCAGTCTGTGCAATGTTAGGAATATATCTGAATTTCACACAAAAAAGCAACAGATTTCTAAAAAAAATTGAATCTTCAATTCAATTCCAAGAGCCCAAGTTTGCTTTGCAGTCCAATTAATCATTTAGGCTGTGTATTTAAATTTACTATAATTTATTACATTTAAGCTGTGTGCATGTATTAATTCATCTTTCCATTATCATACAAGCTTGGGGACACCATATTACCTGTCATGTACCTGTATATCCGTTATTCAGTACAGGTATTTACTGCCATGTAAGGTATTAACTACTCTCTGTTATAAGACCTGCTAACTAGGGAAATAGCTCCCGGTTCTTGTTTTAATGCCCTGTTTTAACAAAATCATCAATACACCACTCATTAAGCCGATGTGCACTCGCAATACTTGTTACTTAACATTGATTTTTGTAAAAAGATTAAGCAAAAGTTATAAATAATTTCCAGCAAGTAGCAAGATCTAGTTTTTCATGCAACCTTTTTTGTTTGTTTTCAATGCCACCCTTGAATGAAAAGTGGGGTGAATGGTCTAATTATTTTCAATGATTTTGTAGTGCATGTTACAAAGGTGACTCTTGAAAATTCTGGTGCATCTTTCTCTCTGGCCTTGGCCTTAAGTTATGGAACTTTGTTCCTGATTTTTTTTTAAATAATTCAAAATCCAACTTTTCCCCCAATTTTAAACATGAAAGTAAGTGCTGAAAGTCATTAATGATGATAATGATTAGGGAATATAAATGTAAACTATTTCACTGACTGCTAAAAATTGCTGCCGACATTTGCAGATTTAAATAAAACATACATGTCTGAAGAATGGAATTTTAGTGTTCAGCACTGGAACACACAAAGAACCCATTATGAATACACAAAGTTTAGCAGTATTTTACAAAAAGGAGATATATAAATATAGAAATTTTAGCTTTCATGACTTCAACAGAAAAAGTAGACAGCATGTCTTTTCTCTTCTCAAAAGATACATTTTTCGTTCAGCATAAAAGAAGAAGATTGACCAAGTTGATTTGTTCAATTTAAATAATCATGATAATGGGCATTTAAGAAATAGAGAAAAAAAAAATCTAAATAAGTATGATATTTGATGTAATATTTTGTTAACTGTGTAAATGATAACTGAATAATCAGATGCAGATGTAAACAATTCTTTAATTGTTTAAGAGAAACTTGACTTGTGACTAGAAACATCATCTAAATGTCAGCTGAATAAATAATTCATTGGCATGTATTGATGCAACAATTTTAAACTTTAATTACCATAATATGCTGATTTTACAAGGATTTCTTAGTATTCAGATGCATGGAAAAATCAAAAATATCAAAAAATAAAAAAGTTATTTCCTTGATAAAAATGGCCATGAAGTCAGCAGCAAACTGCATTTATGTTTTGAGGCTAAATTTACCTGTTTACCATTTCCTTCTAATTTTCATGTTTAAGAATAAATTTATGATCAAAACATGATGCAAACAAAATTCATCCAAATTTATAAGCCTGCATGGTGTAATCATTCTTCGTCACTGCATGGATAGACACATGATAAAAGGTCAAATCCTTACACCATATACAAATAATTTTTAGCGAGGATTTATTTTGGCATCATTATCAAGGGTGCTGATATTGCTAAAATTGAATATCACTGAAAATAAATTTCTTTTTTTTTGGTAATAGCTTCTTTCATGAGCATTTAAAAATTGTTAAAATTACATATCACAAAAATTGAAACCAATTTAAAAGGACAAAATTTGCCTCTCGCTAAAATGTTCACTTATGGTACACAACTGGACTTTGGCAGATCTAGCTTAGATTCTAACTACATTCACTGAAATTTTTCTCATTTATTTCTAATTTCTAACAATTCTTTCATCATTAACTTATTAAAATAAGCTAAAGAATCTCACAATATTGAAATTGGATAAGAACCTCTTTAAAGCTGTGATCATAACATTAAATATTTGGCCATTTTAGAATTACAATAAAGAAGTATAGGAACCAAAGTCATAAGAAAAAAACTTTTGTTTCGAATTTGAATATAGCAACCAACATGAGATCTGGAATCATGGGAATGGTGGATTAAAGTTGCTACACATATACACTGTGACTGAAATAATTTTAATTTGTGTGGGGGTCAATATTTGTGGATTTAGCAAAATGTTGTTGGTTCGCGGAAATGTGATTTAGTAGGTACATGTAGCTTGTATACAGTGTAAGCAGAATTTTAAGCAAGGATTCAATTTTGGCATAATTAGCAAGGATTCTGAGATCACAGAAATTGAATATCACTAACAAATTATTTCATAATGGTTGTTATAGCTCTCAACTTTCCCTAACAGGCTCATCAGGTATCCGTGAATGCCTTGTCAGCACTCCACTGACCCATCCCATCCCCATACAGAACATAGTACAGAATAACTCTAAGTGTATAGAACCTGATAACACTTCAGTTTCTGACAAAGGAGACAACCTTCGAGTTATTTGTGTACACTGTATCAGACAAAGGAGACAACCTTTGAGTTATTTGTGTACACTGTATCAGAATAGTTCATCTTACTGGGGCACCGTAACACAGACTTCTACATTACTTGATTTACATGTCCTACTCATCAAAGTCTTAATGATGTATCACATACTGTAGATGGAGCTGTCCTAACAATTCCATAGAATATAGTTAAGAGTTGTCACTTTTAGTTTCACAAATCGTGAAACTATATTTGAACCAGAAGTCTCTGTTAACTATAGTTAACGGTTTGTACTTATAGCAACAAAGTGAAAAGTACTTAAGCAGTTGGGAATTGTTTTACAATCAGCAATAAATAGAATAATGATCCTTGATAAAGTCTCTTTATGTTTGTGAAACATAGATTGTGTGCATTATATACTTTAATCAGATGTAAAACTTAGAGGATTAGCATTTTGAAACAATTTTAAAATTTTTATTTTTAGTAACCACGGCAACACCATTCATGGAAATCAAAAACAAATATACACAATAATGGATCTTAGTGTAGTCTACTTGTGTGCCAAGTTATATTGAAATCAAACCAAAACTGTAGGAGGAGTAGCATATTGAAATAATTTTACATAAATTTCTATTTTTAGTAACTATGACAAACCTATGGAAATCAAAAACCGTGAAACTTAATTATGTATTTTTGTGCAGTTACTTGTGTGCCAAGTTATATTGTTATCAGACTCTCAACTGTAGGAGGAGTAGCATTTTGAAACCATTTTAATGAAATTTCTATTTTTAGTAACCACGACAACACTGTTCATGGAAATCAAAAACCGATAAAAAGAATTATGTATCTTAATGTAGTCTACTTGTGTGCCAAGTTATATTGAAATCAGACCAAAACTGTAGGAGGAGTAGCATTTTGAAAGAATTTCACAGAAATTTCTATTTTTAGTAACCATGGAACATCATTTATTTGTGTAAAAACCGATACACAGAATTATGTATCTTTGTAGTTATTTGTGTGCTAAGTTATATTGAAATTAGTTCAAGACTGTAAGAGGAGTAGCATTTTGAAAAATTGTTTACATGTCCTACACATCAAAGTCTTAATGATGTATCACATACTGTAGATGGAGCTGTCCTAACAATTCCATAGAATAACCTGCCCCCAGTTGTCACTTTTGAGGTTGGCGTATAAAGATACAATTGATAAACTTCCACCAGAATTGTGATTCAGCAGAATACACTCTGAACTACTTACGAGATAACATAGGCTCACGCTGTGGGTACAAGCTGTTAGCTGCAGAACTGTTGCATTATGGTTTAATATTTTAGTCTTATCGCAAATAAGAAATTTATGGTGCTCTTCACCACTTTCCAGCATTGGTCAATAACTATGTTTCACTCCCTAATTCCAGACACATATTTTAATCTGTATATTTTATCTACCTTCCATTACCTTCTATACCCTTACAGAAAAAACTAATAGAAACTTATAAGTGTTTTATAATCCACTTATTAGTCACTTAAAAATTTGAAATTTACTTATAAGTGTACTATAAGTCAAAGTAAGTATAAGTGAGGAACAGATTTCGTTAATACTTCACTTGTAAGTAAAGATGAGCTACATATCAGTGAATATTTCAACATAGGCTCATGCTGTGGGTACAAGCTGTCTAGCTCAGCAACAAGAATTTGAACTGTTATGGTTTTATTTTATTTTTTTGAGTATGCCTTCACATTGGACAACATAATGCCTAAATTTTGAATCAATTGAACTCTGTTGCTTTCAGATTTCATAAATTTGAAGAAGCCTCGCAAATAATATAAAATTTATGGTGATTTTTTTCCATAAAATTTTCACTTGATTATTTCTGGTGCAACCCTTTGAACATATCATGCAACCCCTGCATGGTTGGAAGTTCTGTTCTAAATTAAGATCTTACACCCCTTTAAGTCCAGCATAAAGTATGAAGGGTTAATGCTTGAATAAGTCACTTATAGTCACTTATAAGTGACTATACTTGCATAAAGCATAAGTGGCACATAAGTCACTTTAATCATTTGCATATAAAATCCTAATGTATATTTTTATAAGTTAAATGTATCAGTGACCTCCCATTAAAAGAATAAATCACTTATAAGTCACTTATCAGAAATTTCTGTAAGGGTAGTCGTCTACAGACCAATAAATTTGCTTAATTTTCTGCAAGACTCACAGAATACACAGTGACACGACAAAACAGCAAGTCTCAACAAAGTGCTAACACACATCACACATGGTAACACCACACTGTCACATATTCAACAATGTTATACCAGAAACACAAAATTAATATAAAGCCTGTTCAACATAGCTAGCGCTCGTAAAGATACCTAATGGAGGTACATGTATGAGGCATTTTGGCGAGCACTCGCGAACATTTCTGTTGGAGGTACAAGGAATTTGGTGAGGGCTAACAAACATTTGCTCTGTTGTACGGGCCTATGGTTTAGGACATGGTATACAAACAAAGAGACACTCACCAAGTCACCAGACGCCATTTTCTCAGCGAACCTGTCATTGGCTTCTGCGACGTTTTGATATGTGGGATTACACGTCTGGAAATGCGCCTCCACCACGCTTTCTGTGACCTGCTCGATCAGCGCGCGCCTTACATCCGACGGTCCGAGTCGCACTTCCTCCAGTAACTTTGTCGCGTCCGTTTCTACAATTTCCTCTTCGTCAATATCCAGACTAAGATCTTTTCCCCCACTACTAGAACTCCCCGCGCGACTGTTTTGTTCTGATAAATTCAAGTCCGGATTCATTCTACCCATGGACATGACCTCACTGACACTCGGACTATTGGGCTCCAGTTTACACGTAGCCTCGGGGGGAGAGAAGCTACTCTCAAACAAAAGCGTGGACGGATCCATGAACATTTTTTCGTTTAAATGGTTCAACACTTTAAGATCCATCTGAGCCAGAATATCACCATTGTTCTCCAGACTGCCACAGTTAGAGTAATTACTCCCTGGCTCTGGCTTAATGTTCATACTGAGCCCGTCAATCTCTTCCAGCACCATGTCGCTATTACCCAGGCTCATCGGCTGATTCCCATTGTATTTTTCACCCATGTTGTCGCTGGTGATGGGTGACTGACTTTTGCTACTGACCGGACTACTGAAGCTGGAGTATCCCGATTCGTGACCATTCCCGTTCATCTCGCCCGTGCTCAGTTGCGAGGTCATCTGATGGGGAGGCTGATGCTGAGATTGCCGTTGTGTCGACTGCTGAGGTTGCTGTTGGCTGTTGCTTGGGTTGCGCTGGTGCTCGCGGAAGCTGACCTGAGCTGCCTGCAGAAAAGCCTGCATGAGTTCTGCTTTGAAGGTGCCGTTCTGTTGTAAGACTTTCTGAAGTTCAGCCATGCGTAACTTCTGTAATTCCTGTGGGGAGGTGGGGTAGGGGGCGATGGGAAGGTTTCCCCCGTGACCCCGCGCGTCACTGGAGGGGTCCTTTAGCCTTTTTGGCCTCCTGCCAAGTCTTGAGGCTGAAAATACAGAACAGATATAGATGAGTAAATACTCATACTCTCAAAAGCATAACAAATATTAATCAAAATTTTGTTTGATTCAAAAGTATGTGATAAAATACAGAAAAACACACTTACAAGGAAGTACCAGGGACAAATGTTTTCACTTTTGTTATATATGTAATTTGTTTTCAATATTTTAACATGTTAGAGCAATGGGGGATGAAGAACACTTCCCTTATATATAAATCATGCCTTTGTTATAAGCCTGCTACTTAGGCCTTATTGAAATACAGTCTAACCATGTATTGCCTAACTCAATGGGACAAAAAAACTTCAAGATAGCTAAAAGATTCAAGATTTCAGGATAATAAAAATAGTTAGAGATTAAGGGGTTATATTAGACTTACAATTCACTTCAACTTATCTATTGTATTCTAGATATCTAGAATATTCTAAATAGTAAAGCAAGATTTTTTTTTTTTAAAGAGTGGCTCTTCTTTTGAACTTGGAATATATGGCTTTTCTACGAATTCTAAGCTTCTGAAAATTTTACAGTGAGGCAATTATATATTGCAAATTTGCTGCACCAAGTCCTATAGAACAAATTACAGATAGGGTTACTCCTACACCTGGCTAGCAGGGTAACTCCTACACGGTAACACCATGCTAGCAGGCTTACCATTTATCTAAGCTCCTTTATGACTTTTTTACTTTGATTAGACTGTGATTTACTCTGACAATAATTATCCCTACTGGTATGTAACACAAGGTTATGTGTGTGAATACCTTAAATTGTTAATGATGCCGATAAGGCCATATAAAATTAATCTTTAGATTCTCATCCCCGCCCGCCCCTCTCAAAATGTCCCGCCCCGATGTTTTTTATTTTGATTTTTGGGTATTTTCATGTATTTTTATTCAGTCTCCCGTCTGTATTAAAAGTCGCGTGTCGCTATTTATAGCAAAAACGCCATGTGAAGAATGGAGAAAAATCGGCAATAAAAGCAGTTTAAATGTGTATGGAAAAGATAATTTGTCAGTATAGAGAAGGCAGAGAAGAAAAATAGCATAAACACATATAGATACCATCACTGGCAGGAGAAAGTATGTAGAGAGATTGTAACTAAGTAAAAATAGACGAGGAAAATGACACATGGTCAAGTTATATATAACGATCTCCAGCTGTGTGACTTAGCTTTGAAATAAAAAAAAAATCTACAACATCGTAGACAGACTTAAGAGAAGGCCTAGATTTTTCAGTACAATAATTATTAGAACATTTATATAGATTTTGCAAAATAAGAAGTCACGCATACACAATTTATTGGTATGACCAACCCACCTCATTTTGTTCAGGGTGTGCCGTATAATGTGTACTTGATAATTTGTTAATTAACAATAAATATTTAACTTTTAAAGCAAACATTTTCTTTAAATATTTAAAAGAATATGTCAAGAATTAAATCTATTCATATTTGCATTAAGGTAATGAAAAAAATGTGTACGGGGCGTCCATTGTTTTGTTGATACTTAGGCCTATATAAATTAACAATTATAAAAAATATAAAATAAAATCCGCCCACCCGCCCCAATTTTTTTGCAAATTAGGATGAGAATCTAAAGATTAATTTTACCTGGCCTAATTCAGATGCCATAGTAATGGATGGGGAAAGACATACATTTTACAAAAGCATAGTAGTTAACGCTCACTTCAACATGAATTAATTTAAAATTGTAGCTATTTATGAAAGTGAAAATATTCATAAAATCTCTTAATCATGTGCAACACGGCATTTCAGTTTTTCCCCCACAATGAAAGAGGGAACTAAAAATGTAGCTCCCCAGAAAAATGACTAATAATGAAAAACATCATCTTTATAGCTGTGATGTCAATTTCCCTTCAGCTGTGTCAGATCTATGCTTCTCCTTACAGCTATATATTCTCACTGTAATGTCTTTTTAAACAGTTTCACATTTTACCAACTCTCTTCTCCCCGCTGCCCTAAGTTCTAAATATTTTGATTTTTCTCGGTTAATCGACGTAACAGAATTCTGATGGCTCCAAGCGAGAATGATTTTACATTCCTATAAATATATCAATCTTTATGTCTATGTGTGATTTTAGATACCTACGAGATACACACGGCAGATAAAGGCAATATTGTTTTTCCGTAATAAAATGTGGAGGACATTATTTTAGAGATACTGGAAAAACGCAGATTACTCGTGTGTGGTGAGATTTGTTTTAAAAAAATAAAGATTAAAGTTTGAAAAAAAAAGAAGAAAACCATAAGCAGTCTAGATAGCTAAAGTCACCTGTTCTGTGTAAAACATGTTAAATTTCAGATCTGTCACATTTTTCTTCACAGATTGAAATGTTCCCTCTATTTTATGAGAGATGGTAAAAAATATATCAGTTGCATGCATAGCAAGCTAAGAAAACATGATTATTACAAAAGTATCAAACTTTAATCTATTCTAAATTTCCCAGACCCCCTCTTTGACCAGGGAAAGATTTACTGCCAGTTAACACAATACCCTGTCAATACCTTGCCGTTTCTAAGTGCTCAGATTCCTAGAATTTGTATCAATTATTGACAATAAGAAGAATCTATCACATTCCAAGGAACGTTTTTTATCCGGAGGTTCACTAAGTCGATTACATTCAGCAGAGCTTTAGGTCGATGACTTTAATATTAACTCTAGCTCCGTCAGTCTCTTATGAACCCTACACTCTAGCTCTCTCCAGGAGTCCTGTATTATTATAGGGAGAACTTCCTTCTTGGTAAACAAAAAGGTCAAAGGTCAGAGGTCATACTCCTTACTTACATGTAGCCAGACACCTCGAGTTCTATAGCTAATTACTCATCAGAAAACAAGTTCAAAGTTCAGAGGTCACACTCATACTCCGACTTACATGTAGTCCAAACACCTAGAGTTCTATAGCTAATTACTCATCAGTAAACAAGGTCAAAGGTCATACTCCTTAGTTACATGTAGCCTTGACTCCTTGAGTTCTATAGCTAATTACTCATCATACACAAGGTCAAAGGTCAGAGGTCACACTGCTTACTTGCAGCCAGACACCTAGAGTTCTATAGCTAATTACTTATTCAGTAAACAAGGTCAGAAGTTCTATATATATATATATGGTCCCTGACCCAATTTTTTAAGACTTCTGTCCAGGTAAACAGAGGTTAAAGGTCATGTTCCTTATTCAGTACAACCTGTTTTTTGTAGGATATTTTATTTATAGTCATGATAGTAGAGGAATCTTAGTACTCTCAAATGACCCAGGGATATGCTCCAGTAAGAAATTGTTACATAAGTATACATCAAATCCTTTAGAAGTGAATAGGGTCTTGTTTTTATAAGGCATTAATATTGCAAAGAAAAAGAAAGAAAATAATATCTTTGAAACCATCTAAATAAACCTTAGATGTGTTTTACACCTATACAAATGTGACATTAACATACCTGTAGAGATGTGGCAATATCTACCTGTAGATTTTCACATATTTTTTATCTATTCAGTATGTATATATTCTAGTTCAAGTAACACTTGAGCTTTAAATTATAGCATGTAACTTTAATAATTTCCTAATTTTATGCATAAACCCTGACACTGTATAAAAGGATTTAAATTTCTCTAATTTTTCATGTTAATCAAAGCATTAACAAACCGTGTGCTGTTTTAATAGTTAAAACTCAATTTGTAGAAGTTCTGATTTTCAGAGTACAGATAAAATGTGTGGAGGTACATTTCATGTATCATAAACCATTTAAATTTCTCTATATACGATTCACTGGTTATTTATAGATTTGATCATGATGCTCTTGAAAATTAAGAAGTGTGGATAAAAAAGAAATGGGAGTCATAAACATTGATCTGAATTTCTTTTTGTGCATCGATACTATTCTCTGCTTGAATTGTTATCTAAGATAAATTATGGATCCCCTATAAAGCCTGTAAAAAACAATCCAGCCATTAAAATTCGTGGAGAGCTGTCAGATATACCGGATGTGCTTATTACTGCTATTACACAGAGTACATCCTTTCTCTAAAGTACAGGCAAAACAAAAAACATGAGCTCGCTGCCTTAGAATTCTAGTCCAACATCTGAACACTATAAACCAGCACTGCTCAAGCTCAGTCCACTAACACAGAGGTGAATGTAAACCTTCAAAATGTTATAAAAAAGGAATAGAAACATTTTAAATGAAGGGTACTGTAGATTCCTAATTATATGCGAGGAATTAATTTCCACGTAATTTCACGAGAAGTGTCACTCGCGAAATAATATTACTCGCTTTTATTTTTAGGGTGCTGAAATCCATTTAAATTCTATTGATCAACTGTCCATTCGCAAATTATTATTCTCGCAATTTGATATTGAAGAGCCAGTACATGATAAAAAGTACTCACGAAAAATAAGGAATTTACAGTATTCCTAATCAAATCATAACAGCAGCCTCTAGCTGAGTCCTTTGACCATGATTTCTACTGTACAGTAATAAAAAACCCTTAGGAGAAAGTACCAGGAATTAACAATCTTACTGATCATTTTTGTTTGTTTAACATCTCTTTGAGTATTTTTCACTCATACTGATCGATATGCCACCACTTGCAAATTTTGGCCTGACTACTTGCAACTTAAGGACTTTGAGCAGTACGTGAGGGAATTTTTTTTTTTATGCCAGCATCTACTGTGACATACGACTTGATCATTATGATCTCATCTGAGGGACTTAAGTTTCCATTGTCTTACAGTGGAAATCGAACCCATGCTCCAAGTATCAATTTTCACTCCTTTCTCTAGGGCTCTTGACCAAAACATTCTAACCACTGCCCCACAAGGGCAACTAATTAGTTATGAACATAATTCATTATATTTATATCAGCTATTAAGAATCACTTTGCTCAAGTTTGTTGTGAGCATCATTTCATTCAAGCATGTTTTCCTGTACCCCTTCTCTTAGGTCTTTTTAAGACCAGATTCAAGGTCAGGTTGCTG